GGGGGAATGGCACAGACCCAGACACATCCAAGGGGGTGGGAAATTATGGAGAGCCTGTTGGACCATCAGAAAAACATGGCAGAGGCTCAGAAAAACATGGCAGAGGCTCAGGAAAGGAGACTATCAGAGATGCTGGCAGCCCAGGCGGAAACTAGCTTGCGGATGAGTCGGGAACAGATGAACGAGATAGCTAAACTGCAGGTTGAAACTGGCTCGCAGATAGTCAGGGCTTTGGCTAATTTGGCTCCCACACTACATGGCCCGGGCAAGAGTAACTCGGGCCTGCAGCAAGACAGGCCGGCACTTACGAGTCCGCCGCGGGAAATAGTTTCCAGTATCCAAAGGGGATCACGGGTTCACCCAGAACCGAGGTTGGATGACAGCCCACAAAGGCAGTACTACCCTTCTTCAAGAGCGGAGGGGAGCGAGTATAGTGGGGAGACGGTTTCTCCCAGGAAAGCACCGCCAGTAAAGAATGAGCCTGTAACGCCGATCCCACCGGTGCCGAGGGAACAGGATTACAGATTGCCGCCACCTGCGCTCTCGACTTACAGTACTGTAGGGGGTGGACAGGGGGCGCGAATCAAGGACACACAACACAAGCAATTGTTGCAGAGTGTAGATTATCTGACCACGGAGCAGAATCGGAAACATGCTCGAGGATCACCACAGGGAGGTACTCCCCAGTTTCAATCGGACAGTTCTGGCGAGTATGCGAACTCAAGCCTGTACCAGCACAAAGAAACCCCAAACAAGGGAGCCAATTGGGGCTACAGCTCACCCTGTAACCCCCGGAAGAGCATGGATGCACATGGGCTGAATCCATCCACTGGGGATTACCCTTTGACCAAGCAAGTGAACAGCTACCAGTCAGCAATTGATCATCAAGTTGCACCGGATCCCAAGGTGGTCAAGCAGGAATTACCTGATCGTGACCAGACCACGCTGGACAGAGGACTTAACAGAAGAGGCCCCGATAGAAGAGATTCAGATGGTCGAGGCGACCAGGACCGGGCCCCCATGGACAGATATCATGCCGAGGAGAGTGACGTGGATGAGCGAGAGGACCCATGAGAGCCTAGCCGCAAGGGTGAGGCAGTTAGACGGAATAGGGGCGTGAATAGAGGTCCGGTTCGCCGAGGCCCAGAACGACGGGAAGGAGCAAGAGACCAGCCCCAACGCCATAGTACCCCTAACCTAACATATGACGGAAGATCTGGTTGGTCAGGTTTCTACCTCAAATTCCAAACATTGGCCCGCAGAGAGGGTTGGTGGGAACAGGAGAAAAAGGATCAACTCACGTTAGTGATGCGAGACGTGGCAAGTGACTATATAACTATGTGCCTGGACCGGGACCCGGACTTGTCCTTTGAGGATATGGTGTTTAAACTACAAAAACGGTTTGAACGCTGTGAACTTGCGGAGACAGCACAGATACGATTCCCTACCATGAGGCAAGAGGGGGGAGAGACCTTAGAAGACTGGGCACAGCGATTATTGGCCACGGCTGTGGTAGCTTTCAGGGATTGTCCAGACCAGTTCATCGATCGACAGGTGATAATGCGTCTCTGCCAAGGATGCGAAAACAAGGAGGCTGGACAATTCGTGTCTAACATCAAACCAGGGACGCTGGAGCTCGCCATTGCCAGCTTGCGCCAATACCAGCATAACACACAGGCAGTGTATGGAAGGGCCCGTCGGGAGATACGGCAGGTCGCTACAGACACATCACCACCACCACCAGGAACACGGGTGAAGGTGGTTCAAGCCTCGAGTCCCAAGTCATCGGGTAGCTCTGGTGATTCTGGCATAGAGATAACAGGGAGACTGGAGGCTGTGGAACAGAAAGTCAGTAGCCTCACCCTGTTTGCAGAGGAGATCAGAACTTCTATAAAAGAGATCAGAACTTCTATGGACATGATGGAGGAAATCAAGACCATGGTCACAAAGCTGGCGGAGAATGTAAACAGTAGAGGACGTCAAAGGTCTCCGAGCCCTAGCTGACGCACTAAAGGATGCTTTAACTGTGGAGTTGAGGGGCATTTCAAGGCAGATTGTCCCCGCAAGAGCCCCAGCGAGGAGAGAAAGGTGTCCTTTGCAGAGCCGTCTGGGGGCGTGACTTTAAACATGTAGGGGGAGGGCGGATAGGCCAGAATCCCTCCCCCACATCTCACACAGGTCAACCAGACACAAAGGGACCACCTCCATGGCCACCAGACATAACAATAGAGCCGACGCTGCTGGTGCATGACATACCGGACGGGGAACATAAGCCGGTGAGAACCAGCAGCTTATCTACAATGCCTCACAGGACATTCAATAGGGACAGACCACCTCCATGGTCACCAGACATAGCAGCAGAGACGGTGTCACTGGTTCATGACACATCGAGGAGAACCAACAGAGTCTCCACACTGCCTCATGGGACATTCGACAGGGACAGACCACTTCCCTGGCCGCCGCCAACAGCAAACAAGCCGGTCCCTCTGATGCACAAATCACCGGACAAAGAGCACAAGCCCGAAAGAACCAGCAGCTTATCTACAATGCCTCATAGGACATTCGATAGGGACAGACCACCTCCATGGCCACCAGACATAGCAACAGAGACATTGTCATTGGTTCATGACACATCGAGGGGAACCAACAGAGTTTCCACACTGCCTCAAAGGATATTCGACAGGGACAGGCCACTTCCCTGGCCGCCGCCAACAGCAAACAGACTTATGCTGGGCAGGGAGGTGAACACGCCAGTGGATCTGATGTTTGGATCCCCGGTCTCCGAGGAAGAGGGCCCCAGTGTCCATGAGTATGTCAGAGATCTGAAGGAGGCGATCCAGGAGGCCCATGACCTGGCTCGAGTGACACTAAAACCTGCAAGTGCTCGCATGGAAAGGGACTACGACCTGAAAACCTTGACCCGGACATTCCAAGAAGGCCAGCCGGTATATGTGTTGGACTCTGCTGCGGTACTGGGCCAGTGTAAGAAGCTCTGTCCTGTATGGAAGGGGCCTTACCTTATTGTAAGGAAGATCACGTCAAACCTTTTCATCGTGGCTACCCCAAAGAAGGAACTAACAGTACATCATGATGGAATCAAGCCGTGCGAAGACCGTGAGCTCCCACGATGGATGAAGAAAAAGATGAAATCGGAGGAAACAAGGTGGGATCTGGGAGGACTGTTTCCGGAACCGACTGCGGATATTCCGGAACCGACTGCGGATACTCCAGACCCAGATGCAGAAGATGAACTTCTTTATTGCATATGCCGACAACCTGATGATGGAGAATTTATGATTGCTTGTGATACCTGCGACGGTTGGTTCCACGGCAAGTGCGTGGGAATCACTGAGGCGATGACAGAGATGATGGGAGTACTTTTGCCCAGAGTGCCAGTAGATGAATAGGATGAACGGGGACAAGTATGCGGCAGACGTTCATTCCATATTGAGGGAAAGCATGCCCTTGGATCAACCCCTGCAATGATTGGCGGGGGGTAGCAGCCCTTGTTGCAGCCATAGCTGGAATTGTGTACCACGAGCTGTTGCAGCGGAGCGTGGACAACGTCGGCTGGAGAACAGCTCCGAAACCCTTGACCGTCGTGGCTATGGCGGTCCCAGTAATTCACCTCCAGGGTGCAACTGACGTGCAGTTGGTTGCTCTCCCAAATCAGGGAAACCCCTGAAGACCCATTTGAAAATGGTGTATTCCCGGCAGTGGATCTGTCGGGATATGTTGAAGGTGTGAGGAAGCCCCTTCATGGTTAGGGGGGGCTTAGTAAACGGGGAGGGATGTAGTGATCGTAGGTTTCCGGAGGTCTTCGGAAAGGTTCAAGTAGGTCGTCCCGTGGCTGACCACGGGAGACCCCAGTTTCAGAAGTGTTGTCAGCCATCGTTGTAAGTAAACCAGGTCGAGTACCCAGCTCAATGCAGTATTGAATATTATACTGACTTGACGAACTGACAGCCCTTGTACGTGAATAGAAAACAAGGTTTGTGAAGCCGAGATATCGTTTTCACAACAATATATTCACCATATTGGGTTCAACATCGTAATATTCTTCTGAACATACTTCAAATCTAAACCGGAAGTAATCACAACACGAACCCTGCTTACCAAACGGAACCGTCTACCACAGTAATGAATGAATGAGTGAGTGAGATGGGTTTAACGCCGCTTTGAAAAGTATTCCAGTTATATCACGGCATATTAGCTTGATGTTGGAGGAAAGCCCGAATTGTTTAAGTGATGCAGGTCTCAGATGTTTACCACTTTGGTGAAACCCATGAGTACGGGAATGGTGCTGACAGACCTAGAAACATAAACCTGAATTCAAACACACTGTCATAGGTTTCTGGCGTGCCCTGCACAGCGAAATGCATCTTAGACGACTGGGCCACCCATACCCCCTTACACAACTGTCACACACTATCATACAACAAAGAATCATTAGATTAGATAAGATATTTATTGCATAAAATTCCATGTAGAGGTGTGATTTTTTTCTATCCGAATATATTATGCTATACAGGCAAGCATCGAGTTCCTTGGAAATACGCATACGCATACTTGTCTGTGACCCAGAACGAATAACACTGAAGCCACACCCCCGAGAGCTGTCTAATAGCAAAATAAGTCAGCATGAAAGTTTGGAATTAAATATATAGAATCGATTCTAGAGAGCTCCCTGTAAACATCGGTTGATAAAAACCCTTGACTGTGATGGCATCATCATGCAATGATGATAATGATAAAGTAAACAATCCGGTCGGAACGAGCTCGGACCCCCAACCCTGGATCGCGAAGGCAACCGACGTCTGTCAAAACATCTAAATGTAGACTGTGAATTGTAATATTTTATACGGACGACAAATCACTTGAGACTTGCAATAACTGTAACTTGTATGCTTGAATAATTACGATCTTGGAATATTCCGTCGAAATGAATCCGGAATGGATGTCGGAATCTCGGAATTGTCAGACGTCATCTGGATGTCCTCAAAAGTTAATAATTACTAATCCGCAATCAAATACTTAGAGAGCAGACCAAGTGTTAATATTAGCCATTTTTATTAAAAGCTATAAAATAAAAATCTCTTAGGATTACCATGCTTGTCAAAGTCAAAATTGCCGCTCCAAAGTTAACCTTGACAGGTCTATTTATAGATGACCTACGGTAACATGATCAGAAATCGTGACGTCAGAAAATCCAAGATGGCGACTGTAAAGATGACTGACATGACTCAAGTTGGAATTTACTGTTTATTTGATTCTGTAACTTGGAAAACACTGCTTGAATTAAGGTATGTCATCCTTGTAACGTGCAACATGATGCTAGCACCATGGTTGAAATTAGTGTGATGGCTTGGAGTTTTGAAAATCTGTTTACCTTGCCAGAACAGGAGGGTTTCTTTTGTCTTCTACTTTTATATTGCATAAATATTCTCATTCCTGACTCTGTAGGTACCACATGCAAATTACAATTTGTTATATCTTCTTGGTTACGCATGTGTGCTTTATGACAGTGCAGGTACAAAATTTCTTTGCACTGTAATTGATCCTCTGGATCAAAGTTATCGTGTACACATATATACTCATACCCATTCATTTAGACCTTAGACAGATCGTGTCTGACAAAACCGCTGAAGCACATCACTGAGCTCCAGGTGTGTGACTTGTTTCCACCCTGGTCATACCGTCATACTTTGTTCCCCTTCCAGATTAGTACCGTGGTGGGGCGGTCGGGTAGCCTAGTTGTTAAAGCATTCGCTCGTCACGCCGAAGACCCGGGTTCGATTCCCGACATGGGTACAATGTGTGAAGCCCATTTCTGGTGTCCCCCGCCGTGATATTGCTGGAATATTGCTTGAAGCGGCGTAAAACCATACTCACTCACTCACTCACTCACTAGAACCGTGGTTACCACTTGTGCCGCTACTACTACCACTACTACTACTACTCCTACTACTATTACTACTACTACTACTACTACTACTACTACTACTGGTCCATTTCCATTGCATGCTAAAAAGTACAACTTTAGTAATTGTTTATTATAAGTATCCTGAACACTAAATGTGATTCTTAACCCAGGAGAAACCATCAAGCCATAGGTTAATGCCCCCCCCCCCCCCCCCCCCGCACTTCCCTGATTCTAATCAATCTCCAAAGGCATGGTTTGTTTGTTTGTTTGTTTCAGAGTCTCCTTCATGTTCTTGGAATCTGAAATGCTTGTATCGAACAAACTACAGCTTTTGGAGGATGGAAACTGACGACAACGTGCCACAAGATGGCGCTGTGGCAAGACCATTCACAAATACTGTAGCTGCCACAGAGGGAAGTCAGCAACAGGGGAGACAACTCAATACATCAACACCAGATGGCGCTGTGGCTAGACCTTTCACAGATACTGTAGCTGCCATTGAGGGAAGTCAGCAGCAGGGGAGACAACTCACTACAACATCAACACAAGATGGCTCTGTGGCTAGGCCTTACACAGATACTGTAGCTGCCACAGAGGGAAGTCAGCAGCAGGGGAGACAACTCACTACAACATCAACACAAGATGGCGCTGTGGCTAGACCTTTCACAGATACTGTAGCTGCCACAGAGGGAAGTCAGCAGCAGGGGAGACAACTCACTACAACATCAACACAAGATGGCTCTGTGGCTAGGCCTTACACAGATACTGTAGCTGCCACAGAGGGAAGTCAGCAACAGGGGAGACAACTCAATACATCAACACCAGATGGCGCTGTGGCTAGACCTTACACAGAAACTGTAGCTGCCACAGAGGGAAGTCAGCAACAGGGGAGACAACTCACTACAACATCAACACAAGATGGCGCTGTGGCCAGACCTTTCACAGATACTGTAGCTGCCATTGAGGGAAGTCAGAAGCAGGGGAGACAACTCACTCCAACATCAACACCAGATGGCGCTGTGGCTAGACCTTTCACAGATACTGCAGCTGCCACAGAGGGAAGTCAGCCACAGGGGATACAACTCACTACAACATCAACACAAGATGGCGCTGTGGCCAGACCTTTCACAGATACTGTAGCTGCCATTGAGGGAAGTCAGCAGCAGGGGAGACAACTCTCTACAACATCAACACCAGATAGCGCTGTGGCTAGACCTTTCACAGATACTGTAGCTGCCACAGAGGGAAGTCAGCAACAGGGGAGACACCTCAATACATCAACACAAGATGGCGCTGTGGCTAGACCTTTCACAGATACTGTAGCTGCCACAGAGGGAAGTCAGCAACAGGGGAGACAACTCAATACATCAACACCAGATGGCGCTGTGGCTAGACCTTTCACAGATACTGTAGCTGCCACAGAGGGAAGTCAGCAGCAGGTGGCACAGTCCATTTCCACAACAACCCACAACTACTTTGGTGAGGCTGTATGCAAAATCTGACTTAGTTTTCTTTTTGAGGAAAACAAAAAGAGGCCGGAGGTCATCTAGGCACCATAATTCACTGTGTAGAGTTCCGTCCCATGGTTGTTGAAGAAACCTGTGATCTTTTGTTTAAATTTATATGTTGATTATGTTCCACGCTTTTTCAGAATCAGAAATGTACTTTTTGGTTTCACCAAAGTGGTAAACATCTAAGACTTGCATCATTTCCCTCAGCATGTAAACAAAACAAAGAATCTGACAAGAAGATGTTGTATTTCAGTGGAATACACCCTAACTTCGTTCATTTTTGCTCCAGGTTCTACAGTTTCACATTACGACCTGTCCAACTCCTCTAACGTGGCAATGGAGGATGGCAGACATCAAGGCTGTATATCTCAAGGTAGGAGAGGCAATGAAACAAGCCATTGTGAATTGCTTTACATGTTCTCAAGAATTAAACTCATAACCTGAGATTTAGCAAACACGGAATTACAATTTAAGTTTTTAAATAGAAAAGGAAATATGATGTTCATATACGCATTATATTTGATGTCATTGTTTTCAGAGTGTCTCAGTGTTAGGATCAACCAGCTCAGTGATATGTTTGTGGAAACCCATGCTCTTGACAAAGCAAAAGAACTTCTGAAAAGGCACAACCACGTGGCCATCTGCGGAGCCCCTGGAGACGGGAAAACTAGTGCTGCTCTCAGGATCTGTGAAGCGTATATGAAGAAAAAGTATCAAGTATTGTTTGTTGAAAGTATTGAAGAGTTTGACGGTGATGTCGTCATTAAGCGGAAGTGTGACATGCTGCTTGTGTTTGACGATGTCTTTGGCTCTGTTGCATTTCCAAGCAGCTTGGAGAAGATACACAAAAATTTTAATGCCTTGGTTGATGTTTTACTGCGCTTTACAAGAGACAAGGAACTGAAAGCCAAGGAAAAACAACCCCAGAAGAAAATTAACGAAAGAAGGAAGAAGGAAGATGAGAAGCAATGTGAAGATGAAAAGACACCAGTGTGTAACTACAAGCTTCGCTTTATATTCACATCCAGAAGCTACAACTGGAATGAAGGATGTGCACGACTGCATCAGTTCAAAGTAAATCTGTTTAAGCCGGAAGCCATTGTTGATATGATCAAGACTTGTTTAACCACAGAAGAAAAGAAACATATTCTGACATTGTTCAGGAAATGCCAAATGTGCGATATCTCCAATAAGGACATGAAAACCATTACTCAGTTACAAGACAGCAGGTTTGGCTTTCCTCTGATCTGTAAACTGTACTGTACAAACCCAGCCTTCCCGATGTACAACATAATTGACTTCTTTCAGAAACCTGTGACCTACTTGAGAGGGGACCTTGACGCCATTGTCCGTGAAGGCAGCAGCAGGTCGGCAGCTCTCGTTCTCCTTGTTCTGTGTGGAGGGAAATTGAACCTTGCCTCTTTTAAGGGGAAGGAGAAGAGTCTTGCTGATCTGTTTCAGGCTGTAAAGGAGGATGTCGCGTCTTGCACTCGGACAGACATTGGCAGGGAGATCAGCAACTTTACTGGCACCTACTGTACAGTGGAGAATCATGTAGCCTCCTTCTCTCATCCATCCATCTATGATGCTGCAGCATGTGCCTTGGGGAATCTCAATGAAGAATTGTTACTGGAACATTGTTCCCTGCAGTTTTTATATGAAAGAGTGAGGCTGAACAAGGATGATCACCAGCAGACAACATACACCGATGATGTCACAAACATGATCTACATCACCTCAAGTCTCCACCCGTTATTGATCAGCAGATTGGTGGAGGGTATCCGAGAAGGATGTTTCAGATGGACAGTAGGTCACCCTGTATTCAGCAGTGCTCAAATAGTCTGCGACTTCTTGACACAGATGATGGCAGACTTGCCAGATGTTGTTCACAGGAAGGATAAGAGCTCAGGTGAATGTTTTCTGTATTGGGTTTCACTGTCAACTAACCATTCACTGTTAGAACGCTCAGTGTCACTGATGTGTAGAGAGGGAAGCCTTTCACATTCTGTACTCGCTGACTTCTATGAGAGTATCATAATCTGTACACAACATGGCAATCTCAGGCACCTGCAACACATTGCTGCTGTACTCAAACAACGTGTGAAATACGATGTAGACAGGAGGACAAAGGGGGAGAAGACTCCGCTGATGATTGCTGCTGAAGCAGGACAGTTGGGTGTGTTCAACTTCCTCCTCCAAGAGGGAGCTGATGTTTCAGCGACAGACAAAGATCGTTACAACTGTCTTCATCTTTCATGTAAATCAGGAAGCAAAGATATAGTAAATGTTATCATTGAGAAGTTTCAACACCTCATCAATGGCCTCGATGGTAAGGGAAACACCCCTGTTATGGTGTGTGCTGAGTCACAGCAGGTTGAAATCCTCAAGTTCCTTGTTTCACAAAAAGCCGATCTTACTTTCGGTTATTATTTCAATGTGAACGCTTTCCACATAGCATGTATCAAGGGCCATGTATCGGTTGTAGAGTATCTGCTGACATGTGAACACATAACCATAGACATGCGAGATAGGTTGAGGGATCAAACAGCAGTCATGATGGCAGCTAAAGGAGGACACTGTGATGTTTATAACCTTCTTGTGTTGGAGGGAGCTGATCTGTCACTTACTGCTTTACACAACAGGGACTGCCTGATGTTGGCATGTCATGGAGGTAATGTGTCTATAGTGGAACACCTCCTGTCCTTGAAAACATTTGACATCAACAGACGAGAGGGGTCACAGAAACAAACAGCAGTCATGATGGCAGCTGAAAAAGGACACTATGAAGTTTATAATCTTCTTGTGTTGGAGGGAGCTGATCTGTCACTAATTGATCGATACAACATGGGCTGCCTGATGTTGGCATGTGAGGGAGGTAACGTGTCTATAGTGAAACACCTCCTGTCCTTGAAAACATTTGACATCAACAGACGAGGGGGTGTTTTCAAAGAAACAGCAGTCATGATGGCAGCTGAAAAAGGACACTATGAAGTTTATAATCTTCTTGTGTTGGAGGGAGCTGATCTGTCACTAATTGATGGATACAACAGGGGCTGCCTGATGTTGGCATGTAATGGAGGTAACGTGTATATAGTGAAACACCTCCTGTCCTTGAAAACATTTGACATCAACAGAAGAGGGTGGGGGAAACAAACAGCAGTCATGATGGCAGCTGAAAGAAGACACTCTGATGTTTTTGATCTTCTTGTGTTGGAGGGAGCTGATCTGTCACTTACTGATGAAGACAACAGGGACTGCCTGATGTTGGCATGTAATGGAGGTAACGAGTCTATAGTGAAACACCTCCTGTCCTTGAAAACATTTGATATCAACAGACGAGGGGTGTGGTCTAAACAAACAGCAGTCATGATGGCAGCTGAAAGAGGACACTGTGATGTTTATAATCTTCTTGTGTTGGAGGGAGCTGATCTGTCACTTACTGATGAAGACAACATGGACTGCCTGATGTTGGCATGTAAGAGAGGTAACGTGTCTATGGTGAAACACCTCCTGTCCTTGGAAACATTTGACATCAACAGACAAGGGGGGTGGTCTAAACAAACAGCAGTTATGAGGGCAGTTGAAAGAGGACACTGTGATGTTTATAATCTTCTTGTGTTGGAGGGAGCTGATCTGTCACTTACTGATGAAGACAACATGGACTGCCTGATGTTGGCATGTAAGAGAGGTAACGTGTCTATGGTGAAACACCTCCTGTCCTTGGAAACATTTGACATCAACAGACAAGGGGGGTGGTCTAAACAAACAGCAGTTATGAGGGCAGTTGAAAGAAGACACTCTGATGTTTATAATCTTCTTGTGTTGGAGGGAGCTGATCTGTCACTTACTGATAAAGACAACATGGACTGCCTGATGGTGGCATGTGAGGAAGGTAACGTCTCTATAGTGAAACACCTCCTGTCCTTGGAAACATTTGACATCAACAGACGAGGGTGGGGGAAACAAACAGCAGTCATGATGGCAGCTAAAAGAGGACGCTATGATGTTTATAATCTTCTTCTGTTGGAGGGAGCTGATCTGTCACTTACTGATGGATACAACATGGACTGCCTGATGTTGGCATGTGAGGAAGGTAACGTCTCTATAGTGAAACACCTCCTGTCCTTGAAAACATTTGATATTAACAGACGAGAGGGGTCACGGAAACAAACAGCAGTCATGATGGCAGCTAAAAGGGGATGCTATGATGTTTATAATCTTCTTGTGTTTGAGGGAGCTGATCTGTCACTTACTGATGAAGACAACAGGGACTGCCTGATGTTGGCATGTGATGGAGGTAACGTCTCTATAGTGAAACACCTCCTGTCCTTGAAAACATTTGATATCAACAGACGAGGGGGGTTGTCTAAACAAACAGCAGTCATGATGGCAGCTGAAAGAGGACACTGTGATGTTTATAATCTTCTTGTGTTGGAGGGAGCTGATCTGTCACTTACTGATGAAGACAACAGGGACTGCCTGATGTTGGCATGTGAGGGAGGTTACGTGTCTATAGTGAAACACCTCCTGTCCTTGGAAACATGTGACATCAACGGACGAGGGTGGTTGTCTAAACAAACTGCAGTTATGAGGGCAGCTGAAAGAGGAGAGTATGATTTTTATAAACTTCTTTTGAAGAAGGGAGCTGATCTGTCACTTACTGATGAAGACAACATGGACTGCCTGATGTTGGCATGTAAGAGAGGTAACGTGTTTATAGTGAAACACCTCCTGTCCTTGAAAACATTTGACGTCAACAGAAGAGGGTGGGGGAAACAAACAGCAGTCATGATGGCAGGTAAAGGAGGACACTCCGATGTTTATAATCTTCTTGTGTTGGAGGGAGCTGATCTGTCACTTACTGATGAAGACAACAGGGACTGCCTGATGTTGGCATGTGAGGGAGGTAACGAGTCTATAGTGAAACACCTCCTGTCCTTGAAAACATTTGATATCAACAGACGAGGGCTGTGGTCTAAACAAACAGCAGTCATGATGGCAGCTAATAGAGGATGCTATGATGTTTATAATCTTCTTGTGTTGGAGGGAGCTGATCTGTCACTTACTGATGAAGACAACAGGGACTGCCTGATGTTGGCATGTGATGGAGGTAACGTGTCTATAGTGAAACACCTCCTGTCCTTGGAAACATTTGACATCAACAGACGAGGGTGGTTGTCTAAACAAACAGCAGTTATGAGGGCAGCTGAAAGAGGAGAGTATGATTTTTATAAACTTCTTGTGAAGAAGGGAGCTGATCTGTCACTTACTGATGAAGACAACATGGACTGCCTGATGTTGGCATGTAAGAGAGGTAACGTGTTTATAGTGAAACACCTCCTGTCCTTGAAAACATTTGACATCAACAGACGAGTGGGGTGGTCTAAACAAACAGCAGTTATGATTGCAGCTGAAAGAAGACACTCTGATGTTTTTGATCTTCTTGTGTTGGGGGGAGCTGATCTGTCACTTACTGATAACGACAACAGGGACTGCCTGATGTTGGCATGTGAGGGAGGTAACGTGTCTATAGTGAAACACCTCCTGTCCTTGAAAACATTTGACATCAACAGACGAGGGGGGTTGTCTAAACAAACAGCAGTTATGATGGCAGCTGAAAGAGGACGCTATGATGTTTATAATCTTCTTGTGTTGGGGGGAGCTGATCTGTCACTTACTGATATACACAACAGGGACTGCCTGATGTTGGCATGTGAGGGAGGTAACGTGTCTATAGTGAAACACCTCCTGTCCTTGAAAACATTTGACATCAACAGACGAGGGGGGTGGTCTAAACAAACAGCAGTTATGATGGCAGCTGAAAGAAGACGCTATGATGTTTATAATCTTCTTGTGAAGAAGGGAGCTGATCTGTCACTTACTGATGAAGACAACCATCATTGTGGACTTATGAGGGAAGCTATGATGTTTATAATCGTCTTGTGTTGGAGGGAGCTGATCTGTCACTTACTGATGGATACAACATGGACTGCCTGATGTTGGCATGTGAGGAAGGTAACGTCTCTATAGTGAAACACCTCCTGTCCTTGAAAACATTTGACATCAACAGACGAGGGTGGTTGACTAAACAAACAGCAGTTATGATGGCAGCTGAAAGAGGACGCTATGATGTTTATAATCTTCTTGTGTTGGAGGGAGCTGATCTGTCACTTACTGATGAAGACAACAGGGACTGCCTGATGTTGGCATGTGATGGAGGTAACGTGTCTATAGTGAAACACCTCCTGTCCTTGAAAACATTTGATATCAACAGACGAGGGGTGCGGTCTAAACAAACAGCAGTCATGATGGCAGCTGAAAGAGGACACTGTGATGTTTATAATCTTCTTGTGTTGGAGGGAGCTGATCTGTCACTTACTGATGAAGACAACAATGATTGTGGACATATGAGGGAAGCTATGATGTTTATAATCTTCTTGTGTTGGAGGGAGCTGATCTGTCACTTACTGATGAAGACAACAGGGACTGCCTGATGATGGCATGTGAGGGAGGTAACGTCTCTATAGTGAAACACCTCCTGTCCTTGAAAACATTTGATATTAACAGACGAGAGGGGTCACGGAAACAAACAGCAGTCATGATGGCAGCTGAAAGAGGACGCTATGATGTTTATAATCTTCTTGTGTTGGAGGGAGCTGATCTGTCACTTACTGATGAAGACAACAGGGACTGCCTAATGTTGGCATGTGATGGAGGTAACGTGTCTATAGTGAAACACCTCCTGTCCTTGAAAACATTTGATATTAACAGACGAGAGGGGTCACGGAAACAAACAGCAGTCATGATGGCAGCTGAAAGAGGACGCTATGATGTTTATAATCTTCTTGTGTTGGAGGGAGCTGATCTGTCACTTACTGATGAAGACAACAGGGACTGCCTGATGTTGGCATGTGATGGAGGTAACGTGTCTATAGTGAAACACCTCCTGTCCTTGAAAACATTTGATATCAACAGACGAGGGGTGCGGTCCAAACAAACAGCAGTCATGATGGCAGCTGAAAGAGGACACTGTGATGTTTATAATCTTCTTGTGTTGGAGGGAGCTGATCTGTCACTTACTGATGAAGACAACATGGACTGCCTGATGTTGGCATGTGAGGGAGGTTACGTGTCTATAGTGAAACACCTCCTGTCCTTAGAAACATTTGACATCAACGGACGAGGGTGGTTGTCTAAACAAACAGCAGTTATGAGGGCAGCTGAAAGAGGAGAGTATGATTTTTATAAACTTCTTGTGAAGAAGGGAGCTGATCTGTCACTTACTGATGAAGACAACATGGACTGCCTGATGTTGGCATGTAAGAGAGGTAACGTGTTTATAGTGGAACACCTCCTGTCCTTGAAAACATTTGACATCAACAGACGAGTGGGGTGGTCTAAACAAACAGCAGTTATGATTGCAGCTGAAAGAAGACACTCTGATGTTTTTGATCTTCTTGTGTTGGGGGGAGCTGATCTGTCACTTACTGATAACGACAACAGGGACTGCCTGATGTTGGCATGTGAGGGAGGTAACGTGTCTATAGTGAAACACCTCCTGTCCTTGAAAACATTTGACATCAACAGACGAGGGGGGTGGTCTAAACAAACAGCAGTTATGATGGCAGCTGAAAGAGGACGCTATGATGTTTATAATCTTCTTGTGTTGGGGGGAGCTGATCTGTCACTTACTGATATACACAACATGGACTGCCTGATGTTGGCATGTGATGGAGGTAACGTGTCTATAGTGAAACACCTCCTGTCCTTGAAAACATTTGACATCAACAGACGAGGGGGGTGGTCTAAACAAACAGCAGTTATGATGGCAGCTGAAAGAGGACGCTATGATGTTTATAATCTTCTTGTATTGGGGGGAGCTGATCTGTCATTTACTGATGAAGACAACAATGATTGTGGACTTATGAGGGAAGCTATGATGTTTATAATCTTCTTGTGTTGGAGGGAGCTGATCTGTCACTTACTGATGGATACAACATGGACTGCCTGATGTTGGCATGTGAGGAAGGTAACGTCTCTATAGTGAAACACCTCCTGTCCTTGAAAACATTTGACATCAACAGACGAGGGTGGTTGACTAAACAAACAGCAGTTATGATGGCAGCTGAAAGAGGACGCTATGATGTTTATAATCTTCTTGTGTTGGAGGGAGCTGATCTGTCACTTACTGATGAAGACAACAGGGACTGCCTGATGTTGGCATGTGATGGAGGTAACGTGTCTATAGTGAAACACCTCCTGTCCTTGAAAACATTTGATATCAACAGACGAGGGGTGCGGTCTAAACAAACAGCAGTCATGATGGCAGCTGAAAGAGGACACTGTGATGTTTATAATCTTCTTGTGTTGGAGGGAGCTGATCTGTCACTTACTGATGAAGACAACAGGGACTGCCTGATGTTGGCATGTGAGGGAGGTAACGTCTCTATAGTGAAACACCTCCTGTCCTTGAAAACATTTGATATTAACAGACGAGAGGGGTCACGGAAACAAACAGCAGTCATGATGGCAGCTGAAAGAGGACGCTATGATGTTTATAATCTTCTTGTGTTGGAGGGAGCTGATCTGTCACTTACTGATGAAGACAACATGGACTGCCTGATGTTGGCATGTGAGGGAGGTTACGTGTCTATAGTGAAACACCTCCTGTCCTTGGAAACATTTGACATCAACAGACGAGGGTGGTTGTCTAAACAAACAGCAGTTATGAGGGCAGCTGAAAGAGGAGAGTATGATTTTTATAAACTTCTTGTGAAGAAGGGAGCTGATCTGTCACTTACTGATGAAGACAACATGGACTGCCTGATGTTGGCATGTAAGAGAGGTAACGTGTTTATAGAGAAACACCTCCTGTCCTTGAAAACATTTGACGTCAACAGAAGAGGGTAGGGGAAACAAACAGCAGTCATGATGGCAGGTAAAGGAGGACACTCCGATGTTTATAATCTTCTTGTGTTGGAGGGAGCTGATCTGTCACTTACTGATGAATGCAACAGGGACTGCCTGATGTTGGCATGTGAGGGAGGTAACGTGTCTATAGTGAAACACCTCCTGTCCTTGAAAACATTTGACATCAACAGAAGAGAGGGGTCACGGAAACAAACAGCAGTCATGATGGCAGCTGAAAGAGGACGCTATGATGTTTATAATCTTCTTGTGTTGGAGGGAGCTGATCTGTCACTTACTGTTGAAGACAACATGGACTGCCTAATGTTGGCATGTGAGGGAGGTAATGTGTCTATAGTGAAACACCTCCTGTCCTTGAAAACATTTGACATCAACAGACGAGGGGGGTGGTCTAAACAAACAGCAGTTATGATGGCAGCTGAAAGAGGAGAGTATGATGTTTATAATCTTCTTGTGTTGGAGGGAGCTGATCTGTCACTTACTGATGAATGCAACAGGGACTGCCTGATGTTGGCATGTAATGGAGGTAACGTGTCTATAGTGAAACACCTACTGTCCTTGAAAACATTTGACATCAACAGACGAGGGGGGTCACAGAAACAAACAACAGTTATGATGGCAGCTGAAAGAGGAGAGTATGATGTTTATAATCTTCTTGTGTTGGAGGGAGCTGATCTGTCACTTACTGATGAAAACAACAGGGACTGCCTGATGTTGGCATGTGATGGAGGTAACGTGTCTATAGTGAAACACCTCCTGTCCTTGGAAACATTTGACATCAACGGACGAGGGTGGTTGTCTAAACAAACTGCAGTTATGAGGGCAGCTGAAAGAGGAGAGTATGATTTTTATAAACTTCTTGTGAAGAAGGGAGCTGATCTGTCACTTACTGATGAAGACAACATGGACTGCCTGATGTTGGCATGTAAGAGAGGTAACGTGTTTATAGTGAAACACCTCCTGTCCTTGGAAACATTTGATATTAACAGACGAGAGGGGTCACGGAAACAGCAGTCATGATGGCAGCTGAAAGAGGACGCTATGATGTTTATAATCTTCTTGTGTTGGAGGGAGCTGATCTGTCACTTACTGATGAAGACAACAGGGACTGCCTGATGTTGGCATGTAAGAGAGGTAACGTGTCTATAGTGAAACACCTCCTGTCCTTGAAAACATTTGATATCAACAGACGACGGTGGGGGAAACAAACAGCAGTCATGATGGCAGCTGAAAGAGGACACTGTGATGTTTATAATCTTCTTGTGTTGGAGGGATCTGATTTGTCACTTACTGATGAAGACAACAATGATTGTGGACATATGAGGGAAGCAGCGTGTCCATAGTGAATCACCTCCTTTGGTTGAAACATCTGGCCGAGGTGAATGAAAATTCAGCCATATAAAGAACGAGTACATTACTGAGTGAGTCAGTTTGACAAGGACCCAGTCACGGGAATAAACACTTAAGTTTTTGACATGCTATTGGAGTCTGGAGTGCAATAATCACTACCCAAGACACAAAAGAAACAAGCCATGGTTTACAGAATGTGTTTTAAAGACATATATTTTTTGTAAATTATACGCGTGTATCCTAGTAATCATGAAGGATACTAAACCATCCGTAACCATGAAGATTCGTACCCAACGAAAATGGCTAACCCGTAACAAAAAGTCTCGCCAGATTCGTATCTGTTTTGGTGCTGTCTTGTTTTATTTGGCTTGCCCGAACCCTAATTTGAAGGCTCGGTATCCATGTTGGGATTACCCATACCCATTTAGGTTTTTAAAGCAAAATGCCCGAAATTTGATTGCTTTAACAGGTACAGAGCATGAAACGTGTTTCTAATCATTTATTCAACACTAAATTCTCATATATTCTGACCTGCACTTTCTGGCAATCTGTTCATTGCACTATTACATTTCCCAAATTCATTCTTTTTACATTTCAAGCATTCACCCTGTATACGTTTCTGAACTATATTCATTATACAATACAAACATTCATTCATTTTACATTTGAAAATTCATTGATTTTACATTTGAAAAATTCATTCATTCATTGGTGAATGAACAATCAACCCAATTCACTCAATCAATGTCCGCTCTTTCTCATCAAGTGGCCTTAATTGCTCAACTCAATCAGTGTCCGTGGTTTGTCTTCAAGTGGCCTTACTTGCTCAACTCAGTCAATATCCGTGGTTTTATCTCAAGTGGCATTACTTGCACAACTCAATCAGTGTCTCTGGTTTGTCTTCAAGTGGCCTTATTTGCTCAACTCAATCAGTGTCCGTGGTTTGTCTTCAAGTGGCCTTACTTGCTCAACTCAATCAGTGTCTGTGGTTTGTCTTCAAGTGGCCTTACTTGCTCAACTCAATCAGTGTTCGTGGTTTGTCTTCAAGTGGCCTTACTTGCTCAACTCTATCGGTGTCTGTGGTTTGTCTTCAAGTGGCCTTATTTGCTCAACTCAATCAGTGTTCGTGGTTTGTCTTCAAGTGGCCTTACTTGCTCAACTCAATCGGTGTCTGTGGTTTGTCTTCAAGTGGCCTTTCTTGCTCAACTCAGTCAGTGTCATTGGTTTGTCCTCAAGTGGCCTTACTTGCTCAACTCAATCAATGTCTGTGGTTTGTCTTCAAGTGGCCTTACTTGCTCAACTTAGTCAATATCTGAGGTTCGTCTTCAAGTGGCCTTACTTGCTCAACTCAATCAATGTCTGAGGTTTGTCTTCAAGTGGCCTTACTTGCTCAACTCAATCAATGTCTGTGGTTTGTGGTATTAGTCCTCATGTGGCCTCGTCACCTAGAGAGCTGCAGTCTGAAAGCTGATATCTCTCTCTGCTGGTATTTATTCCAGCTTCTGAAACGTTTGCCTTGGTGTGACAAATCATGTGTAGTTTCATTGGGTACAGATTCGCCTTTTGGGGGTAGGAGTCATCCAGTTGATTAGGAACGAGTGGCTACGGGTATCCAACACTTGGGTACGAATCATCCAGTTGATTAGGAACGAGTTGGTACGGGTGTCCAACACGTGGGTACGAGTCATCCAGTTGATTAGGAACGAGTGGGTACTGACGCTATGTTGGTGTAAAATATTGTAAATTTAATTAGCGTGGTTTAAATTTATTAATTGATGTATGCCATGTTCCCATGTGATTATATCTGTTCAATCTTTGGATGTATTTTAATGATGACAGCGATGTTTGTCAGGGACTATTTCTTGTCCACACTCTTGCATCGTGGCTATTTTTAAAATGTAAGTTGACATTAAGCCTTGATAAACAAATACCTAATACACTAGTTATTGAAGATTTCCCGATTCATTTCTTCTTCTAGCGTGTTTTAAAGTATATTTCACTTTGGATATTAATGGTAATTAAACTTGATTGCACCGAATGACTTTTCCATCCGCTGTTTGTCATTTCTAAGGTTTCGGTGACCTGTCACTTATGTTTATGTTTGGCATAATGACTGTTAATAACTTGGATGTCCGTTTTCACATCAAAGTCATAGATTCATGATAAAGTATTTTCCTGTTGTCTACACTATGCATGCATTATTCAGACACATAGGCACACAATGTATACGTTCCTGTATCTCTTGAATTTGTACCTGTAAAATGATATTCGTTCCCTGGTTTGACATACATTGCCGACAATTCAAGGAAATATTGACAATATGTTTGTCCGTTTTTTTCAAGTATTTTAGTCCATCTTGTTACTGTCCGAATTATTAAAGGACATATAGGAGGACATCAATATCTGGAATGAGGGTTTATTTGCTGCTTGGTCTGAACCGTGCTTGTCCTTAATTTTGTAATCTCAGATATCAGCACAAATCAGTTTGTTTATCATGTTTGATCTATTCGGTTGGTTGGTTGTTTAACGTCGCACTCAGCAATATTCCAGCTAT